ATCATTTCCTCCATAGGTTGATTTTGGCTGAAAAATAGAGCTGTCATAGACGAACACTACTGTGTAGAGAGCTTATATCGTCAAAAGGAAAAAAAATCTACTAAATGCAGAAAAAAAACTTTAGATAGGAAAGAAAGAATTTTTGTGTGTTGCCTGTCCTATATTATATCCATATGGTAGTTAAATCTTGTTAGTTTGATTTGATTGAGAAGAATTTAGGAAATTAATACAGGATATTTATGGGTATATCTGTGAGGGAATTTCCAGATACTGTTGCACTCTGAGGGCTCTGACATAAATATTAGATCAATGATCTCTTCATGGCTCCAAACTATGATGGAGTTACTAAAGAGGTGGTAAACGTTGTGAGGTGAGATCTTGTTGGAGGAGGTCGGCACTTAAAGCATTTCCTTAGGGGCTACATTTCACTCTGGTCCCTTTCTCTGCTTCCTGGATGTCATGATGAGGACTGTTCTGCTCCACCATGACTCCACACTTTAACGGAGACATCAAGACTTAAAGATTGGAGACTTCATCTCTCTCATGCGCTGTTCACAGTGATACGTGACTAATCTAGCACAGGTACATTCAAGGCTGAGAAAAACCTAAGGGGAGATCTGTGAATATTAGGTATTTCTTCTTTAGTGTATTGACTTATTGACTCTAACTGATGCCTATGAATAACTGTGTGGTGACTTACATCTACTGAACTTTATATGCAATGTGATAGTGTGTGTGCAGGAGCAGCCGTCTCTAGTCCTCCACTACCCCATTCATAAGCAGGAGTGGCACAGCACACTGCCCTTAAAATGGTGAATCATTTAAAAAATTATTTTAAGGATCAAGTAAGACCATTCTTATAACCACAGTAGGAAAACTGGGCAGGTAATGGAAACTCATGTTACTTTTCTCATTTCAGAAGAAATGGAATTATTAGATTATTATCCTAAATCTAAAAAGACATTTCCTTCAGATAGTTTTCACTGTCTGACTGAGAAAGTAACTGGACTGGATATCTTGTTTCTATTAAGGGTTTTTCAGGAACTGTCACTAGCAATGTATGTCAGTGGGACAAAAGCAGTTGATTTGAGGGAATTCCTATGCTAGCTTTAAAGGGTTAGTTATTTCCTGCACTGAGGAGCAAGGAGCACATGCTTATCCTCATTTCAGAGAAGTGAGTGTTTACATCCATGTTGTCCTCAAAATCTATTATTATTATTATTATTATATGAAGTTTAGTGGAAGAATCCAGGAGGCAAAGGCTCAGAAAAGAGATTTACATATCAAATGTTTCTTATTTGATGTGGAAATCTTGTTTCACTCTTCACACTGGATGGCCTGATAATATTCTCATTGAATTTTTAAAGATGAATCATTGAGTTACTTTTCTATTTTGCTATTTCATGTAAGATGCTTGGTTGCAGGTGTTTTATACATCGTTAATAGTGACTAACTGGCATCTCAAGTTCAGCATGGTACCTACCATGTTAATTCTATTATTTGACTAATCTGGAATTAAACACAGATAAGTTCAAAAGTAATTATTTTTTATTTCAACTCTATAAAGTATCCAACAGGCACTCTGCAATTACAGCTGCAGGGAAAATACAGAGCAAATCAAAGCAGGTTAAGTTATGAAAAAGTTTTTAATCTACATCAAAAGAGTGCATGTGGCCAATGACCATTAGATGACAGTTTGTTGCATTCTAACAAAAGACTCTTTCATGTAGCACAAATTGTAAGAGGACAATCAAATAACCATAGCTGTAAGAATACAAAAGAACTGACCAGTTGTAAAAACATCATACATTGAAATAAACTTGATAGATGACGCTTAAAGAAATGTCCCTTTACTTAGAAAGCCCAAACCTCTGAGTCATGGCCAAAGTCCCAGAGCTCTGTCTGTTGATGCAGGGGCAGAAAAGGAGGAGGGCTAACAACATACTTCCAACATTTTGCTCTCAAGGTCTCCTGAAAGCTTGCCTCACACATGATTTGCATATACAAGAACTCAGAGAAAGCATCCTGTTTTGTTGAGGGGTGCACCAAGGTACATTTTCATCATTGGTTTCATAACGAGGTGGGGTGAGCAGTCATTTCCATTTTTTCTTTTGGGTTGGACCATTGCTAATGGAGTCTATAAAATGAGATACATTAGGATTTGACTGCACTACTTTTTTTTTTTTTTAAATTTACTGAGTCTGCACAGCTGAGCAAAACAGGAATACCTGTATACAGACTGATAGTATGTCATATAGTAATTTGACCTGCACATACATTTATACATTTCACAGAAATGACGCTGTATCTCATGAACAGACACACAGCTCTGGTACATTGAACAGAAATAAGATAACAACTTCATCATTTCTGTAATTCATCAATATTATATAATAAAGGCTTATAAATTGTTAGCAGAAAGAACTGTAAAACGCAGCAAGCTAAGAAAGGACAACATTTTGAGGTGTGTTCGTCTTTGTCATGCAGCATAACACCAAATTTGTTTTCTTAATAAGATGCCATGAGTTTAAGGCACTTGCAACAACGCCAGATAGCCAGGTCATGTTCTAAACTATGGGACAGATGAGTGACAGTCCTGTTGACATAAGTTTTAATAATACTAACAATGATGACGTTCATTCAAGTCTACTTGGACCTAAAAACATTATTTAATACAAATTAAATGAAATCATAATGCTGTGAAACACTAAAAAAAGTTATATGTACCACAAAATATCACCCAAAAATATCTATTTACATAAATATTTGTTGTGGTCCTATTGTGAAAGAAAACGTTGTGGAAAATGCACAGATACCTCTACTGTATAAAGTGGGGTTTAATACCCTTGTGTTCAATATGGTAGCTGACTTCTTTAGGTTCACCATCAGGTCTATCGTTTGGAAATGAAGTGAGAAAGATTCAATCATTTACAATTTTACATGTGTAATTCACATGTATGTTCTCCAATTTTAAGAAAAAAACCTATGACTTGTGAGGATTATAATAAAAATAAGTTTGTTTTAAATGCTACATGGATCTGATTCATATTCAAATAATAAAGATAGTTGTAAGTATAAAAATCAACTCTTACAATTATCCAAAACTCATATTTCTCTAATGTATTCACTCTAATTAAATATTGTGATGTCCTTTCCTTGGCAGTTTGCTGTTTTTCTGTGATTTAAGACACACAGAAAGCCCTATTTCCCACACACAAAAGAATCAACAAGAAAGTCAGTTAGCAAATCAAACAAGTTGGCACTATTCTAGTTTATCCAGATAACTTTTAGTGCAAGAAAAGAAGAAAAGGAAAAACCAGGGGGCATGGAAAAGTCCAGAAAGTAAGATGTGGTTTATGAAGCTGACCATGAATTATAGCCCTAGTGTCTTCATTAAGACAAGATTTAAATCCTTAAAATTCATGTTGAAAATCTGATGAATGTTTTCTGTTAGCAATTATTGGAAGAGAGTTCACCTTTATCTCTTGTGATTGTGTTGGACATTCTAATTAATGCTCTGGATGAAATGAACAAAGATGTATCACAAGTGGAAAACAGCCCACAGTCACATTGTGCTGAAAGCAACTCCTTTCTTCTTCACAGAACCCATATATTCACACAAGCTGTCTTAGCCTGGAACCCAAGTCCCAAAATACATGGTCCATGTAAATTCCTGGGGATTTGTGGATATTTGAAAAATTAGAGAGACAATTCCCTTTGCTAATAACAAGGCAAATGTAACATCCTTGCAATCCTTTAGCATACCTAAACCACACTATCTTGCAACAAAAAATATCTAACACTGATTATAATGCTGGAATTATATGTTTTGTGTTTTTTTTAAATCAGTTAAAAGATAAATAAACCTCCAGAAATCACTGAATTTTAGTCTGGTGTGTTTAATTTTATATTAGTCTGCTGAATACACAGATCTCTCAGTGACACTAGTAATCTTGAGAAACTGTTTATGAAGGAGAGAGGCTTTTAATAACACAATAATAGTATCAGGATCAAAGTTTTAATTGAACTTTTACCCTAATTAAATATACTTTCAGTAGTTTTAGGCTTCCAATGTTTTCAAATATTTTGATAGGATAGCACATTTGAAAGTAGTTTTGAGTATGAAATTTCAAAGAAAGCTCATGTGATTTATTGGGTAGGCTGTGATGATCTAATGGAAACATTTTAATAGGAATTTCTACATAATAAACCCTACTGGAAAAAATAGCAAACCTCTATTAACACACATTTCCAAATCAGGATGCCATCTTGGATAGTCGTACATTTATCTGTATAAGTAAAAAGCTACCTACCAACAAAGCTTCTGGAAAGGTCTGCCACTTAGTAAGAGTGGCCCTGTCAATCACATGCTTGTTTTAATTTGATGACTCTTTCCCTCATGTGAAAAAGACAGTTAGCTTGGTATTTTCAAATCTTGTCTTTTCTAGCTAACATGAAATTCAAGCAATTTCTGCTCTATTTAGATAAAATGAAGTTTTGAGAAATCAGTCTCCCATGTTCCTCTCTAACCCCTTCTAACTTTGACAAACTTATTCAGGGAAAAGACCCTCAATTCCTGACCTGGTTTTGTCTTTTTCCCTGATCTCAAATAAACAAAACTCCTTAGTATAGTAAGTCATAATACCATTGACTATATATATATATATATATATGTATACACAGTTCAGGCCTAAGACAAAAGAGACTAGTTTATAATGTCCTTTCCCTCTGAGCCCTGGACCGTATTGTGACATGACAGGAGTTTGTTTTTAATAAAGTTAGTGAAAATGCTTGAGTCTCTGGCTAGACAGGATGATTAGAATCTGTGTTGTCCGTTCAGACACTGACATTACAGATGAAAGATAGACATAGCACCTTTTCATTTTTATTTTTTTGGATGGGTCTTCATTCTTCCCCACCCTATCCCACCCCTACCCCAAGAGTTTATTCTTATAAAAGGGACTAGTTTAAGCCTCAGTTTGAGGGTGTTAGGTAATAAATAAAACCAATTGGCTGCTAGTCATTTCCAGGACCATCTTTAAGCACAATATATTTTTTTAAGGATATGAAATGGTGTTGTGAATTCTTTTTCCCCCTCCACTTTGTCATGCCAGTTTCTCAATTATCATGCACATTTTTAATCCTCCAAAAAAACACATTTGTACCTGCCATGGTAGGCCTGTACAGAAACCGTAGCAGTTGTGCTTTTTTTTTTCTTTTAAACAGACCAATTTCTAGAATCTATCAGAAAGAAAAGGTAACATTCAGTCTTGTCATCAGCTAGGAAAGAAACTGGTTTGACATGAACTCTGTGACCCACAGATGTGTGGTCCTCCTTGTACGATATATATTATACACTGGCTTGAAGTCATTATAGGCTCCACACCCTTCCCCTGGTGAAAGGGACTAGCCCAGGTTCTGTACCACAGTCATCTATCGTACCAAATATATTATTCTCTATTCTTCTTGGTAATTCTAGCAAGATACAGACTCTTCTACTAGATTGAAGTGTTTCCTACAGTCTTTCAAAATATAATCAGAGCCAAGCAAGGTCATTGCAACAATAGAAAACATCACTTTACTGGTGAAAGGCTTTGCTTCAGGACCACCATGTCAACTGCTATTTTAGGTTCAAACATAAAACATATAAAGAGCACTATCATAATCTAAGCAATAAGTCCTAATGCCACCATAGTTACTGGAGCAGCATCGATCAAAGGCATCATGGTGACCCCGAGCTCTAATCTTCTCTCTTTCCCTCAGGTTTGCTGGCAGCTGTGTCTCAGAAAAAGCTGTCTTCAGCAAGGCAGAAGCAGGTAAGAGAAATACATTAGAAGTCTATGTCCCAGCCCGAGTTGTCATCAGGCGGTGGCTCATCACTGTCCTCAGGGAAGCTGTCAAAATTGCTTGTGTCTGTGGGTGATGCAACCTGCAATGTGAGAGATTGAACAAAAGGCTTTTGATAATTTTTGGTGGAATTGTCAGCTACAGATTTTATTCTCCATTATTAAACATTGACCATGACCATATCATGGTCAATGTTGTCATTCAATAAATATTTAGATCAGATTAAATATATCTGCCTCCTGAACATTTTTTCCTTAGGACGACTTTGAAAATCCTTTCTTTTAGGTTTTGAAATGTAAAGTCATACCACTGCTTCCTGCTCTGACCTAACTTGGTGGCTAACAATAAATTACTCTTTCTCCTCTCTTTTGCCATCTTCATTTTCTCCAGCCTCTGGTAGGCAAAAATTCTAATGTCAACCTTTGTAAGAGCAATTTGCTTTTAGATTGCACATGGGGCTGACGTGTGTACTCCTTTTATCTTCAGTGTCTGAATCGCTCAACTTTTATGAAAGAGATCTTCAGTCCCATTCATGATGTTACAAATGCCAGGATTTCAATCTGTTTATGGAACTGTGTGTGGCATTTTGTCATGCAAATTTATAGATTTCCTTTTTCTATTGGGCCAGAATTGTATTGTTGTTTTGAGACAGGGACTCACTGAGTAGCCTCTGCTGACCTGGAACTCAATATGTAGACCAGGCTGGCCTTAAATTCCCAGAGATCCATCTGCTTCTGTCTCCTAGTGAGTATTGGAAATGAATGTATTATTGCTAGGATTAAAGGCGAAGTTTTAAACACATTTTTATCATTCTTCATTCAATGACAATTTTTGAACATATAATATGGGATGAATATTTTGCTTTAAATTTGGGGTAATTCTGAGGAATGGAAATAGGATGCTTCTTACACTCAGGGGAGTTTAATAATAAATTGTGTATGTAAAACAAATATTACAGAAGTCTATTAGGAATTATAAAATCATAACACTATGAGGAAAATTACAAGGTTCCAGGGAAATGTGAGCAGTTATAAAAAATCTCATTGCAAAACTATTATTTTTACTTAAGAATAGTTGCTCAATAAAGAGGGTAGAGGACACACCATGGTCGCAAGAGGGTTCTATGCTCTGAAGCTAACAAACTGGTCACCATCACTGGTGCACAAGAGGAGAGTGGAATGAAGTAAAACCAGAGAAGGAGGCAGAAGCCAGGACATAGGTCCTGAAAGTCTATGTGATGGGTTTCATATGTTTATTTTTAAAAAGTATAATGAGAGGACTCTAAGAAATATGTTTATTCTAAGTATAATGGAACTTAAAGATTTGTTCTAAACTTGAGCAAAATTCTTCCATATTTGTTGGCTAAAGTCTGGTCTTCAGGGCATTTAGCAGAACCCTTGTAACTAACCCTAGTGTATAAAAGTCATCCTTGATAAATTAAGGTGAGAAAATTTACATTAAATATTTGGGCCTTCTAGCTTACTCCATGTTAGGATTCAAGCATTTTGCTAGTCTGCCCCCTATCACCTGGCAGGATGCACTCTGGCAGTACCCTGCCTAGCCCAGGGTCCTATGGCTACTATGTCATTACGTAGTCTGCAAGCAGGTGCAAAGGTCCCTTCAGGAGGCAAACTCTCTTTCCTGCTGTTCCTCTGAAGGGGCAGACAGGACTTTTCCTGTCTACTGCTCCCTCCCTCTCTTTCTCTTCTCTCACCCTTCTCCCTTTCCCTTCCCCCAATAAAACTTCCCACTCAAGCTCTGTCTGCCTGGCATGTTTGTCCCTTGTCTGCCATGGAATCTGCCAAGGTCCCCATCTTGCGATATCATAACACTGCACATTTACTCTAAAGACAAAACCCCACGAATGTAACTGGGTTCAGTGATGTGAGGCATGAGTGCAATATTTTTATTTTGTTTCCTTAATTAAAAAACAAAGCAATCAACAAAGAAATAAATCTTAGGAGAAAGTAACATGTTTCTATGTACAAAGACTCCTGAGTTAATCCTAGACATCTGAAGCATATAAACAAAATTCATAGGACCATAAATCTGCCCCTTCCTCTTTTGCTAAAATGCAGCATACTGTATTAAACAGGGGCAGTGCACTTTATTCAGTTAAGTCTATTTTAGGTTAATTTGTTGTGCACAGTTCACCTAGCAAACTAACTATTTAACAGCATGCCTCGCCCCCATCCCAAAGAAATTGGATTAGGGAAAGAAAACCTCCTTTCAGATATTAATAGAAGGAGGGAAGAACACAGGGCTTCAAGTCATGCTGGGGTAGGTGTGAACCTGTGCATGAAGCAGCACTGAAAACAGTTGCTGTAAATTCTGTATACTCTCAGCTACAAACACATTTTTGTCATGTACCTTAACAAAAGTTAACTTGTCTTCATGGATAAAGTGGATTTGAATTCCAATGAAGAATTTCAAAAGATAAAGGTAGATGATATAGGTAATAACCATCCCTAGATTTGTTGCTATTATGTTTGGATTTTAGAATATGCTATTATTTCAATATGGTGTTTCAAGCTTTATATAATCTGATCATAAAACTCTAAAAAAAAAAAACAAGTCTTTGTGGATTGAAAAATGCCATCATGTGTGTACCATTTATACGTTAAAAAAAGTCTACTTACACTTGGAATTATGGGAGGTGTCAAGGTGCCTTTTCTTAAGCCTTCCCAATTAAAGCCTTCAAACCATCTAAGAAACAAAAATAAAGACAGTTAAGACATTTCATCTCTGCTACATATTCTCACTACAGCATATTTGATATACCTGATAAGTAGAAGGGTCTCATGTAGTCTAGGATGACCTCAAACTTACTCTGTAGGTGATAGTGAATTTGAACTACTGATCCTCCTGCCTCCCGTTTCCAAGTGTTGGCATTACAGATGTGTTCTACCACATCAGGCTGGCTTTGAATGTTTTCAATGAGCATATTTTATAAAATGCAAAAAAACCATTAGAATAATTTAAAATAATTGTATCTAAAAATTTCACACTTACATGTAAATTTTAAAATATTTACACTTAATGTGTAATTGTCAAATTCACACATAAATTTATCATGCAACTTCTTTTGTAATTTCAATTTTGTCTGTATGTCTAAGTTTTAGAACTGTCATAATTTAATAAATGTTGTAATATGCTTAGCTCTATGCGTCACAAATACTTTCCATCCTTGCCAGGGAATCAATATGCCTGTTGCAGTGGGGGTAGAAGATCAAAGGTCATTTCTACATTGTCACTTGTAACAGCCTGATGTAGTCTTTCAGAGATCTCTACCTGGGTGAAAATGATATTCTTAACTTGACTGCAGAAAATAATCTCAGGATGAGCCAGTATGAGGCAGAGTGAAAATCGGTTAGGAAAATATTTTAACATAGACTTCAGCATGGGGGTTGCTAGAAAAAGAAACCCATGTGAAGAGTAAGACTCACCCAAGTAAGCAATGATCTTCTCAAGGATGGTAAGCTACCCGTGTTGGAAATAGCCATATATATGATTTTGGTGGCTCAAAATGTACCTCAAAAGTTAGCTAAGAAATGTTCTCTTATCCCCATTTGCCCCTCTTTTTGGTAAATCAGTGTACAGGGTGACTGCATAAGTTTCTTGGATAGGGTCTTAATAATCCTGTCTTCACTTCTTGCAAACTGATTACTTGCTCCAACTCTTTACATATGGTTGACTTTATTTAATCCTGTTTACAATATTCAAGCAGAAAGCTCTTGGATTAAAGGTGTGTGCCAGGGCTGAACCATACCACAACTAGATATAGGTTTTTCCAACAATCACAGTGTAATTAAATATCCTGCAAAACCACAAAGTCCCTATGATGCCTTCAATCTGCCAAGCAGCTACTCTAACTACTGTGCGACTACCATACAACATGAAGTCTAACTGAGGGCTCCCAGTAGGTCCTTGTATCTGTTATAAAGACTGTGAGCCTATTAGCTACCCTATCCACTATGCTGTTACTACAGAATTTATAATCTGACCCAGAGCTCCAGGCAGTTCCCTTAGACTCATTCTGTCCCTATGTCTTATTTATCCACTGCTCTGCACGGGCACAATATGGGGTACAACCAGGAACTCCCATAGCATCCCAAGACCCATGCAGCCTATCTGCCCACCTGTGTGCGATGTTGTCTCCCTATTCTCCACCTCCATACACACCCTGGAACTCCAGGTAAGTTCTCCCCACTCATTCTGCCTTGGTGACTGCCTAGAAGTCACCTGACACACCTCACCACTTCCAAATCATATGAAACCTGATAAACAACTCCAAGTAAATTCCTCAGACCAATTCTACTTGCCATCCTAATAGCCACCTACCCATTGGGGCCCTGACACCATCAACATTGCATGGAGTCTGACTTGGAATTTCAGTTAGAATCTCTAGACCCATTCTACTATCTGGAGTCTATCAGCGACTCCACCCCCATGGTACCTTGGCACCACCCTGGTACCATACAGAGTCCAACATGGAACTCCCAGTAGGAATGCTATATCTGTTCAGCCTACATAACTATCAGTTACCCTGTACTGTTTAGGCTCTGACACACAACACCAGGGATCTTCATCAGAACCTCTGTGCCTACTCAACTTCAGCCACCCTACCTGCCACATCACCTGACACTGCTTGGAGTATAAACCAGAACTCCAGGATCCCTAGATCCATTCCATCCACCTGCCTGCCCATCAGCCACCCTACCCAGTTCCCTGAGGAGAATCTGAACTAGAACTCCAGGAAGATCACCACGATTCCTTCCATTGACCTGGAAGTCAGCCACCCTACCTACTACTTAACAACCTGAGCCACCTAGATCTGGCAGGGGACAATAGGCAGATCTCTTAAGACCTCTTCTGCCTACACTCTAGCCTATCAGCCCCTTTACCCACTGAACCAAGTGGAACACTACAGAGTTATGCAGTGAGAGTTCAGCACATACTTCAGAGGGCAACCCATCAGAGATGCACATCTCATGGAGATAGACATTATTTAGCAAGGTAAATAGAAGGAATACCACCATCCGAGATGCACATCTAATAGACCCCTTTTTAGCAAGGTAATAAGGAATACTGTGTAGTGATTTATTATTTATGATTTATTAAAGCTTGACTGAGGATTCAGAAAAGTAGTCAGCCATAAACCATAGAAGACAGGCATACACCTTTAATCCCAGCAGCCAGAAGCTAGGAGGTGGTGGTACACACCTTTAATCCTAGGACTCAGGATTAAGAGGAAGATGGATTTCTCTGAGTCCAAGGCCACCCAGATCTACACAAAAGAGAATTACAGCTCACACCTTTAATCCCAACCTTAGGGAAGTATATAAAACAGAAGCAAGGTCTCAGAGAGGCATTCATTCTCCAGCTACACTGAGGAGAGGTTACAGTTGGAGGCGTGGTGAGAGCTCTTGGGACAGGAACAGCCCATTCAGCCTGAGCCAGAGGTGAGAGCTAGTGGCCAGCTGCTTTGCTTTTCTGATACTCAGCTTGAAACCTGAACCCCAATATTGGTCTCTGGGTCATTTATTTATTTGTGTTACAATACTGCCTTCTGAACACGTTAACTGTCTCATTACAGATTTCTTGTGTGAAGAGCTCTTTCTCTCACATTATAGTTTGGGGATGTTTTTTCCCACAAGCAGTACAACATGTTAATTGTTTACTTGACACATTTCCCTCTATGTATTGTTATATTGGATGACTGCCCCCAGCAGTGCGTGATTCTGGCAAGAAAGTAATCACAGTCAATTCCCTTACTCTCTCAACCAGGTCTTTGTATAAACTTAGAAGTCTGTCCCCCACTGCAATTATCTTCCTTGGCAGATAGTTGGTCAGTGTTATTGTCCACACAAAGAGACCTCAATTGAGACACTCACAGATGCCCAAGGACAAGAATTACAGCATGTCTAAAGTTGTTGAGTCATAGCTCTCAGAGAGGTAGAGAATAAGAGTGTCCTGGAGTCACTCTGCCAGCAGATAGGGAATTGCTGTTCCAAGCTAATCTCACATTGACCTTAAAGCAAATCCCTAAGTCTTTGTACTTATTTTTACCTGGGTCTATTGAAGCAAGAAATTTACTGCTTGTGTGTTATCCTGAGAGATGGCATAGGGTATAATCCTTAGAGCCAAAAGATTCCTTTTAGCCAGCTAACAGGTGGCAAAAGTACTAACAGGAATCAAGTGCCACACACTTCTCCCATTGTTTACATATGCTGGCTAGTTACACAATATTCCCTCCACACACTGTAGAAAAGTGATACACTGAAAAAAAGATGATTCTTTCTTTGTTCCTGATTTTCACTGCTTATAACTTTTAGCTTATTTACCTAGTCACATTTAAGAAAATAGCAAAGCTCACACATTCCCCTTTTGGATTTCCCTAATGACAATCTCTCCCTCCTCCCAACCACCTTTTCCTTTAACAAGTTCTTGGAAGCTTAAACCACTCCCACTCTGACCAATAAAGAAAGGCTGGCAGTTACCACTTTGTGTAAAATTTTTTTCCTTTTTAAAAAATTTTAAACTAGAAACAATCTTATTTTATATATCAATCCCAGTTCCCTCTTCCTGCCATTCTCCTATGCCCTCCACCGACCCCCCATCCCATCCCTTCCCTCTTCTGCTCCATAGGAAGGGTGAGGCTTTCTTTGGAGGATCATCAAAGTCTGTCATATCATTTGGGGCAGGGCCTAGGCCCTCCCCCGTGTGTCTAGGCTGAGAGAGTATCCCTCCATGGAGAATGGGCTCCCAATGTCCATTCATGTACTAGGTATAAATGCTGTTCCGTTACCAGGGGTCCCATAGACTGCTCAGGCCTCCTAACTGACACCCATGTGCAGGGGGCCTGGTTCTGTCCTGTGCTGTTTTCCAAGCTGTCAGTCTTGGGTCCATGAGCTCTTCCCCCATGTGTAAAACTCTTATCAGTTTCTATGACCCTGAAAAAGTCTAACATTATACTGGTCTAGAGCCAGAGAATTGCTGATTGTAAGTGTTTATAAGCTGGAAACTTTTGCAGTACAGCAGAACAATAAAGAGCATGTGGGTAGAAATAACATGTTGTGAGAAGATTCTTTTTCTATAGCCCTCGGATTTTAGTTCCTTCACTTATTGTACTGTCTCCTTTGAACCCTGAGTGAAGACTTTTAAGGCTGGCTCTTAAAATCCTTCATTAGAATACAAGCCATAACTCCATGTGGGTTCCCCCAGACCCATTCTGCCCAGTGTGCCTGCCTACCAGTCACCTCATCTCCCGATGCATCCTGGCATCATATGGAATCCAACCAGGAATTTTTGGCATGTCTCTCAAACTTATTCCACCCACCTGCCTACTAACTACCATGTCCACCACATCCAGTCTGACTCTACTCCTGGAGCTCCTCTAGGTCCCATAGCACATCTTCACAGCCATGTGCATGTTAGCTACCCTACCCACCACACTGCTATCACATAGCTGTAGGGAATGCGTCTAGGGGGCCTACCTGAATTTCAGGAAATCTGATACACTATAAAAAGACCAAACATACAAGTTATAGGGATACATGAAGAAACCCAGGTCAAAGGCACAAATAGATTTTCAATAAATCCATAGAAGAAAAATCCCAAATCTAAGGAAAGAGATGCCCATTAAAGGGCACCAGAGAGGCAGGACCAGAAAAGGATCTCTGTGTATAATATAATAACCAAAGCATTAAATGTTTTGACTAACAGGACAAAGAAAGGAAACTGAAAGTGGAAGACAGAAGAACAAGTCATTCTAAAGGCAAACCTGTCAGAGTAACGCTTGACTTTTCAGTGGAGATTTCCAAAGACAGAGGACCTGGGCTGATGTTCTACAAGTGCTAAAACAGCACAGATACCATCCCTAACTAGCTCTATCCTCCTAAGGGAATTATGGGCTTTCAGCTCTGATGATGGATGCTTTTGAAGAATGAAGTTGCTCAAGATTTCTTAACAAAACCTGCAGTCAACATCAAAGTGTCCCAGAAAACTCTGAACAGTTAAAGACAATGTCAATTTTCTTTTCATTATTGGGGCTTGGTTCTTTGCCTTAACTAGCAACTTAGAACCACTTACTAAATAGACTTGTGTGGTATTGATAAGAATGACCCTAAGCCACAGGAATTCTTATCAGCCCCAGCACTGGGAAGTTTTCATTTAGAAAAGCCTTGTGTTTTATATGAGGCAGGATAAGACAGTGTTATGACTCCTCTCTTAAAAACTAGGGGACATTCACAGCTTGCTTCTGCAGCTGGTCTCTACAGTGTGTAAATAGTTAAGATGCTCACAAGCTATAGTAGCTGTGGCAATGTTGGTAGATGATAAACAGAAATGGCTCTAATAAACCTTTCCCAGACCAAATGCAATTCTATCTTATACCAAATTAGAGAAGGCATAGCCACATACTGACGGAAATGACTGGTGAACTCAAGGCAACATAAATCTCTTGTTTCTAACAGCTCAAAAGAAAAGTATCCAGAGACTTTGTGACTCATGCTCCCCTGGGAAGAAAGGCATTAACTGTTCTCGTCATTTATGTCTTTGGGGTTAAAGGATCATAAAGTCTCTAATCCAAATAGTTACAATGTCTTGTCTGGTCTGTCTCCATAATCACCAAGGAGGCAGAACTAAGCACCTTTCCTTAACTCACTACAAAGGGATGGTACATTCTGAGAACGAGATTGACAATGAGATCTTACTCAAATGCTTTCCTGTCAAGAATATAAGTATCTCTTATGTGTGCTGACAACTTCTCAGGGTGGATAGATATCTAATCACACAGAGTGAGAGAACTCAAAATGTTATATAATAAAATTTTCCCTCCAGAGGCTCCCTAGCCTCAGTGATATCCCAAGAACATGCCACTTAAACTTGTAAATTCTGTAAAGCTCTAAAAATTGTCTTCAAACAAGAAATAATAAATAAACAAGACATCTTAATATAATAACTTCCTAAATCCAAAGATAAATTCCCCCTTACAAATTTACATGTTTGGTTTTGTGTCCTTCTGTTTTTAGGCACAGTTAGCATACTCAATGGTCGCAACCTTACTCTGTTTTCTTTGTAATTTATTCTACACTGGATTCCTTCTTGGAATTATTCTTTTATGTTTTGCCACTTGACCAGTATAGAACTATCAGTAGGTTTTATGAGAGCCCAAGGGCTCTGACTTTGAAATTCAAAAGGTATCCATGAGGAAATGGAAGAGGAAATATAGGGTGGATACAATCATTTTTCATTGTGTACATATGTGAGATTCTCAAACACTACATTTAAAAAAGATAATAAGGACAGTGACCCTTACTATTCTGATAGAAGCACATGGAGAACCCATGCCCTTCATTATTAGAGTGAAGTATATATATCTGGTAGCCAGGCTTTGTGTCAAGTCCGAAGATCAATCTAGGTTAGATGCTGACTTCAGTTTTAATTAGATGCCAGCATCACAATAGTCAGATATCTCATGAGTAAAGAGGCTCTGTTGTTTTGGTTGCTAATACTAAATATAACAATCTATGTTACACTCTCTTATTTATATGATATGTTGTCCCAGGTAACCATACTGTCTCATGGAGATTTCCATGGGATGATGATTCCTCCAGTATCCAAACTCAGACTTTCTCATCTCATCTCAGTCTGCAGGTTGAGATTTTAGTTGTCTGGATGTTCAATGTTTGCATCCTTTTTCAGAGCAAAGACATTTTTAAAATATAGATCTTTGAATATTATCTGCCATTAAGATTAAGGGCTCATAGTCTCAGAGAAGGAAACCAAGGCAAGACAGAAAGAGAAAATTAAGAGGACATGAGAAGGAGGAGAAAGGCTTCACTCTGGAGTCTGGTCAAAGCCTCCTGCTAGATCAGAGCCAACAGTTCCATCCCAACTAACCATTTGCTACATAGACCCAATGTTACTTTTCTACAGAATTGTTAAAATGGCAAGGAATCTGCTTAAGGCTTACATGTACATGGCCTTTCTTCTCTCCCAGCTATAAGTTTAATATTATCTAGGACTCTCACTGGAAAGGCCACACATAGTAAAAAATGTCCTAATCCCCTTTTGCAACCCTGGTAAGTCATAGTTTTATCTTACCAGATTTTTCATCCTATCCCAGGTATCTCTAGAACAATCTTCTGATCTCATTTGCCAAAATAAGGAAAAAAGGAAATAAAAAGATTGCTAGCAATCCTTGAATATACAATTTAATAATCATCAAAATTGAGCACACGGCTACTGTTAAGACACCCAAGTGTGGCACTTTTGAGCAGCTCACATCTGCACTTGGGTATATTCTTTCTGACTATTTACATTAGAAATCTCTTTCAATAACTTGAGCTCTGCTTCATCTTAGCCTGATCTGAGTGCAGTGCTTTCTGCAGCAAAGTCAAGAATCCTATTTTCACCTGAGTAAAGATACCCTAAAGAAAAGCTTCATCTACACTAAGTGCAATATAGAGTTGTGTCCCTATCTCTCACATCCCACAGTGACTGACAATTAGAAACCTCTATCTATGTATCTCTATACATTTTGCCTTTAATTTAAAAAATAGGGTATGATTCAGGGAGCAATTTTGTTTTCCTTATGCAACAGAGAGAACAGAGTCTCAAAATTAGAAATATACATATTTTTCTTTGTTCCAAAGGTGTACAACAAATAAATACTGGTAACTGTTGAGAGAAACTGAGTCAATGGATTGCTGGATATCAATGAGTATAATTTCCAGATACACATAGAAAGGTTTACAAAAGGCTAGCACTCTCTTTGAATGTTCTAACCAATAACTAAAAACTTCCACCCTGGGGAAATCTGTCATACTTTTTCACTTATAAGAAAGATCACTTACTTGTGTTTTTGAATGTCTTTCACTCCGTTTTTCAAATTTCCTAACCTTTCTGATGGGTTGTCCCTAAAAATGAAACAATTGTCATGTGAAAAAAGTTGAATATTTTCACATTATGATCCTTTTAAAATGATGCAGTTCAAATACTTACCTGCATAATTTTTTAATTAAATTAGCAGCATTTTTTGCAATCTTCTTTGGAAATTCTATCATGTCAATCCCCCGCAGTATGATGTTATAGGTTTTCATAGGGTCTGGGCCTGAGAAAGGTGGGCTGTCAGGAAGAAGACACACAGAGATGGTATTTTAACTCTCTGAATAAGAATCAGAAAGTTACAGCCACATTCATGATGTCAGCTGTTATGTGGGGGAATTGCATTAGCTATGACAATGGAATGAAATACACATTATGCTAATGACAATGGAATGAGAGTTAAAGAAATAACAAAGCACTGTGGAAGTCTTCACAGGCTACTTTTTAGCAAAATCACTGATGGATGCAGCTTGTGCAATGGTCCCTCCTTCCTTTGACCCTTTCTTTTCCCTGTGTTTGTCATTGTGCTGTCTCCAGAACTCTACCGCTTTTTCCACACTGCCTCACAGGTGGCACTTGGGTGATTATCATATTCCTGACTCTCTAAATACAGAGTTTATTCCTCTTTGGGTAATCTTCTTCTTCTTCTTCTTCTTCTTCTTCTTCCTCCTCCTCCTCCTCCTCCTCCTCCTCCTCCTCCTCCTTCTTTCTCTTCTAAATATTTATTTATTTTATATACAGTGTTCTGTCTGCATATATCCCTGGTTGCTGGGAATTGAACTCAGGATTTCTGGAAATCCAGCTAGTGTTCTTAACCACTGAGCAATCTCTCCAGCCCCAGGTAATAAATCTTAAGAATTATTTTATTTTATGAACCCTTGTCATTAATATGAGTTCATTTCTTCACTTTTAGGCTATGGTAGTACCACCTTTGATTGTTTGTGTGTTTCTATTTACTTTAGTATATTATTAGCTAGGGATTGTAGCTTTAGTTGCCACTCAAATGGATACACACACAATTCTGTTTAATCTCCTAGTGTCTGAAAAATATTTGAGATTATTGAATGATGAGAAACAAATTTTGAATGATGAGAAACAAATGTATCTATAGCTTTCCTTCCAAGTTAATTTTTACTGACACTGGTAATAAAATGGTATTAAAGAATATATTTATATTCTCTTCAATAACATTAAAATATTTAATCTAAATTCTAAATAATTAAATTTAAAAACAACATCACCCCATTTGTCAGTTTTTCTGTTGCTGAAACTTTCATTGGGTTCATTATTTTATTGACTTGACCAATCACTGTTCCTGCGAAAGGATCATCAAATCAGAGTGCCAAAGGCAGGAGTGCACAGCTGTCTGAGGCCTATTGTTATTTGCAGTTCCCTGTAAATGTCCATACCTGCCAGTCAGAAGCTCATACATTAGAATTCCTAGTGACCAATAGTCAGCTGAAATGTCATGGCCTTTGTTCAGGATGATCTCTGGGGCTACGTATTCTGGAGTCCCACAAAAAGTCCATGTTTTCTTTCCAAATCCTATTTTCTTTGCAAAGCCAAAGTCAACCTTATGGAGAGAGAAAGCAACACACTTAAGCTATTTATGATCAAGTTGTAGAAAACTATGCATTTAGCTGAGTAGACTGATGATACCAATACAGAAATAAAAGTCATTACAGTCCTGTCTTCTAAAAGGAATCACATATGTTGCAAACACAGATGCCCCATTCAAATTCTGTTCCAACGAAGAAAGTGAACCCTGAACATAGATAAAATTGAAACCATTGGAATAAAAGGCTCTTTCTAGAAATGTTTTCTTACTTTTTCTACTTTTTTTTTGCCAATAGTGATTGTGGCATAGAGAAAAGAATTTCTGCTTAAAAGAGGCAGAGATCCAGGTGGGTTAATATAAAAGTTTTCCTAGACTACACATGCCTTCTTCTGGACAGTATGAAGTTGACAGTTCTAGTATTGAACATATGACAAGCAGATAAAACAAAGTATATCCTCTTTTGTGGAACTTTCTGGAGGAGCTGCAAATACAGAAAGCTCCTTTTTGCAAAGTTAGTTTAGATGCAAATAGTTACATTCCATTGATACAGATGTATTTTAAAATCCAAGCCTGGGTAACAATTTCAAAAGTTTACAACTAGAATCAGGTACCAACAGGTCCAAAGCTCACAGAAGGTGGACGTTTTTAAATGAAAGAGCTTCTCTTACACAGTAGCTCTAAGAACGCTTAACCAATTATTAGTGTTACTGCAGTTAGCACAATGTAGATAATACTACCTCAGAACTCATTCCTCATGAACATTATTCTTAAATATCATATACTAAGATGTTCACAGTCATGTATAGCACTAATTTCCATTGCATTTAGATGGAAGAAAGCTGGGCAGAAATAAGGACTATTATGTATAAGTGATTTCAGGTCTATGAATACGTGCCAACAAGGGCATTTCCTGAAAGTTGATGGAACACATGTTTTGTGGGGGTGTTATTAGTTCAAACCTAGCAAATTTAATTTCTCATAAAACTTTAAATAATTTGAAACATTGTAATTGAAAACTATGATGCTAACACCTCTTACAAGAAGTTATAACACTGAAGTGGAAAGTCAATTTTGTGTTAACAAATGAACATGAGTCCTTAGAGCTTAGGTCACGACCCTTGTGTGGAATACACTGACCAGCTTGGCATAACCTCGATGGTCTAGGATGAGATTTTCTGGCTTGAGGTCCCTGTAAATAATTCCTTTGGAATGCAGATAGGCGAATGCTTCTACCACACATGCTGTATAAAATCTGGTTGTCGAATCTTCAAACGAACCCCTGAAAACAGAAAACGCAATGAACAGTGTATAAGCAATTAATTCTCGAGAGAAAAACTGGTTCCTGTGCATGCGAGTTCATTTTATTTCTGCACTAAAGTTGGCTCAGAGGGCAATGTCTAAAGGGCTCCATATGACATGGGTTTCATTCCATTAGCATTTTTAAAACATCGGAGGATCAAGCCAAAAAATTATTACCCTTAAGAGTGGGACAGTTAAATCCAACTTCCTGGAAGGCTCAAGAAGTGATCAACAACTTTAAAGTTTCGTGAACTTTGTGGCTTCCTCTTAACAGCCCACCGCTATATAAAAAATGCAGAGTCCCTGCTGTGGGCAGAAGAATGAGTCCTATATTAGCACTTGCTTACTAAGTGTTTGCTTTTCAAAGGAGAGGTTATTTTCATTCATTCATTCATTTATTGTTTATTCTTTGTTACTTGGGATCAAACTCAGTTAGTTCTTCATATATACACTTGTCAAATCCTGTATCATTTAGCTATATCTCTAGTCCAAATAAGTTGGATTGAACAGAGAGATTATTCACTTTCAATAATAAACATATATGTATATTATGGATAATTAACAAACAATTTAAGTATACCGATTTGTTCATGGTTAGTTTTAGCAAATTTATATATGGATCTTTTTAAATGGTGTAGATATGGTTCTTGTGAATGTGAAAATGAAAGAGGTCCCTGTTTACAGAGAACCATGCCAAGAACTGCACATATCTTCTCACCAGCTATATGTTAGGTCTCTGGAACTTCTTTGACATCAAGACAGACAGTATCTACCTTCTGCACCATTGCCTTCTCATCAGTAGGAAGAAATGGAACTAAAATACAGCTACAAGAAAAACTCATTGAAAGGAAATGTTAAACTGCAACATTTATGAGAAAGCACTTTCTCTGTCTCTCTCAGTCTTATCTGTACATATATATATATATATATAAGTTTATTGATAAAATATTAATAAAAGAGGGCTCCAAGGTCACTCCTTGCCTCTAGAACTTAAGATAAGTGTACTCTTTTTCTTCTTTCTCTAATAACGAGGTTCAATGGAATAACTTCACAATTTATGGGTGTTTGCAAGAACTTTATCAGCTCTTGAAGTGGCTGTGGTGAAATAGGAGCTACCACAACTTCAGGTGGTGTCCAATAAACAGCAGTGCAGGAGCTTGCTCATAGGTATGTCTCTGATGCTTGCTTGCATTTTGGTGACACTTGCTTCTTTTTAAAAACTGGAGTGAAGTTTAACAACCTGAGCATTTTAATGTGGCTACATATTTACAAAATTCACCTGCAAATCCAAGCCTAAAGCAGATGTCTTGAAACCCATTTTTATTTAGAAATAGTATGTTCAGCTGTGCAGACTTCATTTATCTTATGTATCCACTGAGTAGTTACTAAAACAACAAGCTGGTCTGAAATACAGCTAAGCTAGGCATAATAGCTTATAACTATAATCCCAATACCCAGGAGGCGTAGGTAAGAGGCCAGCCTGGACTGTAGAGAGCCCTTATCTCAAACACAAATCACACAAATAAAATTCAAGATTTAATTAAGCTCTAGGTATGATGACATCTATTCCTCTAAATATCAGAACTTTAGCTCACATTACTAAGAATATACCATTGTCCCAATGATACCAAGTAACACAAATGTGAATTTCTAGGGGTGGAGGAAGGTTATCTGGAAAGAAACGCATACATAGCAGGGAATAAATGGTGTTCCTTAGGCTTTAATTGCCCTTTAAGGGGTAGAAAACCTAGGCAGACCTACAAATCTGCAATCCTGGAGACTGGAAAAGGATTAGAGCATTGCTTTGAGTTCCTTTTCTCCTTTGCTCTTAATAAAGTCTTAGTATGTTTGCCTATTAAGAATAGAGCATTCTTTGAAAATAAATGTTTTAATTTAAAAAACAAACATGAATATACATAAATGTATGTAGGTATATATACATTCCATGTTGTATATGACTTTAATCTCCCTGAACATAAAACATTCCAGACAAATGCTAATCAAAACAGCACATGACTGAAGTTTTAGAAGACTTCACACTGCATGGCTTGTTTGAATTCAGAGATTGAATATTTTCTTTCTTCAGGAGTACCAATCCTGGATCTGAGCCATTTTCAAATTTAGAAGGTTCTAGAAGGTTGGTTTCTAATTCTTTCAACAATCTATATTGAGTATATCCCATATAAAAGCTTATGTGTAACTGCTTTTTAAAGGTTTAAGGAAATCCTTGTCTCAAACTTTGAGAAATGTATTCATGCCAACAATGTATCAGTAGTGCATTGTCCCACTACTGATCAAGGCTACTGAAAGTAGCCACAGAGCATAGCATTAGAGTGACTCAAAATGAAAAATCACAATTAGAGTTGGTAATGGCAATATAAATTTGATCTAAATAGAAGTGAAATCTTATTTTAACAACAGTTGAGAGAGTTGCTCAAAGAAATAAATCATTTATTCTGTTTAGCTCTTTGAAATAAAGAAATTAGCATTGACAGCTATATCATTTCAAGTCAAACTACGGGAATAGGCTCTCAGACGTTCTTTAGGAGTTGCTGTTTTAGCTAAATGGTATGAAATGACAATTTGATAGAAATAGAGGGATATATATATATATAATATATATAGTATATATATTATATATATATTAATTGATGAACTGAAATTAAAATTAAATCACAGCATTTACTCAGCTTACCAGAAACTGAATGCCGAGATGTCAGAATGTAACAAAGACAAAATATCTCTTATGAAATGGGGCCAGGAACCACTAACAAGTGACAGCAGTCATTAGTGAGAACACAAATCTGAAGTATGTTGTAATATGCAGGCTTATGACTCATTGTAAAGTGGGGTGGCTAGGCTATTGGGTAGACAGACTCATTTCTTTAGAATACTTTAAATCAGTGCCATCTATTAAGTGACCAAAGAAGAAATTAAATAATAACCCTCCACAAAATAGCCAGGACCTAAACTCTATCCAGGAAGACATATGATGAGAAATTGAGGTGGTGTGTGATTTGAAAAATCATGATTTCTGAGATACTTAAGTTATCCAGCAGAAAGAAAATGAACAAACAAATAAAAAAAATCTAATAATCAACATGCAGCTTTACTAGATTAAATTATATGTAAAATACTCACATTGACACATATATGTCCTATGTCTTATTAACATGCTAATGCATTATTGAATTCTATTTGATAACACAAATACTAATATGTATTTATTATGTTAGCTAACTATAGTTTTAAAAGTTTCAGGAGTTATTAATTCTTTATATGTTAGAGATGATCAAATAAAATACAATTTGTAGTTGTCTTATCCCATAGAACAAAAAAGAACTTTTGAAGAAAAATGTCTCATGAACTAGATGATAAGTTATCATAGCTACTAAAGAGTAAACCTGGGAATATGGGGGATAATTAATACATCATGTTTAGCTTAGGTCTTGACAGTCCTCACAGCTTGGCTACGTGTAGCATCAATCTAATTCTCGGTTTTGTATGTGTGTGTGCGCTTAGGTTGCATGAGAGTACTTTTAATAAAGAATATTGTCACACAAGTCTGCTTTCCAATAGTCTCATATGCTCTTCTTGTATACTATCAGCGTAATATTGTCCTTATTATGGCCTTCTTTGGACACAAGAAGAAAAAGTGAATGAATTGGCCTAGGTGTTTTTTATTTGTTTGTTCTGTAATTGTTTTTCATCATAAGGTTCTAAATCAGAAATCTTTATATGCTATGCAAGTATATATTTTAATATTCAGCACGGAGTCTTACTATGATGGTCTAGAGCAGTGCTTCTCAGCCTTCCTAATGCTGTGACTCATTAATACAGTTCCTCATGTTGTGGTGACCCCATATAATTACTTTTGTTCCTTCTTCATAACTGTAAGTTTGCTACTGTTATGAACTGTAAGCACCTGATATGCAGGATACCTGATACGTGACCCAATGTGAAAGGGTCATTTGACCACCAAGGAGTCAAGACCCACAGGCTGAGATCTGCTGGCCTAGAATGTCTTTGAATTTTGGAATTTTGCCTCCAGCTTCCTGATTAGCTGGAATTACAGGAATGAACTAGCAAACTTGGCTCCCATTATTTTATTAAGAAGGTAAAATAAATTCATGTAGAATAAAAGAATGAGATTATATTTGTACACAGAAGAAAGAGTATGGATGGGGGAAATGATTCCAAGTCTATATATTTATAATAGTTTTCCATGCAATAATTCCATAGGAGATTCAGAATTTTGGAATCATTGGGAGAACTAAGCAGCCATTGTTTCTCTACAATAAGGTTTGTCATGGACTATCAGTCACATTCCCTGGACTTCAAAGAAACCGTGTACCCAGAACTCAAGGATGGCACAAGGGAGGGGGAAGGGAAGGACATAACACAGCCCCTGGAGATGGAGGAATGAGTTGTCACTGTTATTGTCTACCCATCCACTCCTCCCAAGGGGATCAGTTTCTTCACAGTCACCTTTTGTAATCCTGCTGAGTAAGTGTAGCTCACGTGTGACTAACTAAATTGTAATCTCAAGAGGTGTGAGAAAAAAATACAAGGTGATATTTCCCTGCAAAAATACACTGAATATTGATGAGTGGGCACGTCTGATACTTGCAGGCTGAGTTCTAGTGCTGTTATTATAATTACTGTTTCAATAAAGGAAAAACACAAATTTTACAGAGCTCTGAGGGCATGGCTGGACCTTCCTCTGTACAGTTTATTACACTTCCCTGTTTAATTCTATTTACAAGCCTCCTGTTTTAATTAACAGAAAATAGAAACAAGGCTTCACACAAACTAGCAGATTGAAAATGATATAGGCGAACACATGAAGAATGTCAGAGGCGAAATCACAGGCAAAACAATAGTTTTGGAATAGTCAGCAAGTTCTGAGGAGTGGGACCACACCTATCCTAAAATATATCCAGGATACTCTCACTATACCTGCCACAAAATCATGACTCAATTATTAACGACAATGCAGTAATTTGCCCTGATATGGTAGCTTAATATAGGTGTTGACCTCATCCTGTGTCAACCACATGCAGTTCTTTTATGGTTCTTTTAATCATAACTTGTGGTGATATTTTGTTTGTAATCTAAACAAATGAAGCTTTCCTGAAGATCAGAATGCAGAGCTATGCCACTAGTTAACCACACACCCAGTTAAGAGCGAAGCCACTAGTCAGCCACACCTGTAACCGCTAGTTAGCCATAGATGACAGGCAGTGGTGGCCACACCTTTACACCTAGCACTCAGGAGACAGATGGATATTTGTGAGTTCAAGACCACCCTGGGCTACATGAGAGTTAAGCAGTCTAAAAGAGAAACAAAGCTCACACCTTTAATCCCAGCACTAGAGAGAATATAAGGCAGGAACCCAGTGTAGTCTCAAAGAGCAGTTGAGTTTTGGTGGACAGCATTGCAGTCTAGGCAGTCTAAGGAGCAGTGCAATTTGGAGATATAATCAGAGGTCACAATTATCCCTTTCAGTCTAAGCATTGATAGAGGTGAGAACTCTAGTGATTGGCCACTTTTATTCTCTGGTCTTCAGCCTGAACCCCAATATCAGTCTTTGGATTTTTATTATTCATGCTACGATAACTGATAAATCAAACAAAACACTAGTATATGAAATTATATTAGAGCAGAAAGCGATCTATTTAACACATATATATGAGTAAGGCCACTGGGATCAAAGGCCTGAATATATACTCTATATGAAGACACAAAGGCACTAAACAGGTAGATTTGGGAAGGAGAACCTAGTCAGGAATTTATAAAGAACCACTTGATCTGGGTTATCTAAAAAAGTAACAGATAGTTAAAATTTTTATGACTCTTAGGGACATCAGGGCTATCTCTAGTTAAGTTTTGCAGGGGTGGGGGTGGTAGTGGTGATTATCCAATGGAGAAGAACTTGAAGGCACCGTTGGAACAAATACGAAAAAGAAGTTTTCCAAAAGTGCAAAGACAATGGCACACACCTACAATGCCAGCACTCTGGAGGCAGAGGCAAGGGGAGCAAGAGTTCAGGGCAGCTTGGGCTACATAATAGGCCCTATTGCAAAAAGCCAATATTTGGGAATGTAGCTCAGTGATAGATTATTTGTTTAGCAGGTACAAGGCTCTAGAATTGATCTCTAACACAGGTCCTTTATAGGAAGTAACCAAAAAGTATTTGTAGGAAAACAAAGTTGTTTTTTAAAACAACAAAAAAAATGTAGATGACAGAAAAATAAAGAAAACAACTTTTCACAATTCAGAGAAACAAATATGTACTCTCTAGGCAAATTTTACCTCCTAAGGAAGGGCAGGAGGGCAAATAAAATTGTTTACATAAAGAGGGGCAAATAAGAGGATTGATTTCTCCCCTAAAGATTAATTTACCCCATAAAAGATAGGGTTGCTATCTGAAAACTGAGTGGTACAATTAAAGTGTCAGGCAACACAGACTGTAGTTACGATGCAGCTCTGGGTCTCCCCAAGTTATCACACAGTGAGGAATTTGAGGTGTAGAGCTGGATCATTCTGATAATCACATAATTTCCTAATGATCATTTTTAATGTGGATTCAACCCTTACCACTAGTTACAAGGTGAGTTTTACATATCTTATAGTAAATTCTATATGCTATTGGCTGTCTCATGTTTACATTTGAAATTATAAACATACATAAAATGTAAATATAATTTTATTTATGATGATGATGATGATGATGATGATGATGATGATGATGATGGATTCCTCTTGTAGACCATTATGGGCCACTCTGTTTTCCAAAACATGACAGAAAAGATTTAAATCTCCTACCTATCCCTGAGAATAGTCCAGAGCTCTCCACCTAGGCAAGCTTCCATCAACATATACAAGTATTTGCTGTCTTTAAATGTCCTGTACAGCCTGTGAACAGTAAACAAGAGAACAAAAGTATGAACATTATTATCTTTTAAAACATTTTTTTAAGTTTGGTGAGTTATTTTGTTGATATATTGATATAAAATTATGGACTACAACAAGGTGTCTTAACACATATACGTGCCGCTTAATAGCTAAGCCAGGGTACTAAGCACACGTATCGAATGTTTGCAGTACGAAGCTGAGGTGGAAGGAATGAGTTCTGGTTCAACTTGCAGGGTTTATAATATTGTATTGAACATTTCAAACTAGATAACAGAGATAACTTGCAATGTTCTTCTCATAAAAGCCAGTACTCAGGTTGCAGTGTTTTGAGTTTTGATTGCTAGTTTTGGTATTTTTGATGAGATACAGGCACTGAAGTCTTCCAGAAGCCAGTGTCCCCTAACACTTACAAACTATAGCACTAGAAGCTTCTGGCTTGGGCTAGTCCTAATGGGTATGTGCACATGAGAGTTTCTGGAGGTTCTATCATTCTTATTTTGCTGATTTTCCAAGCATGGCCTTGAGCAAAATTTAGTGGTCATAAGCACAAAATATGTAGATATAAAGTATATCATATTTTATAAATATAGATTGTAAACAGTAACTTAAATTTATATCTTAACTTTCTGTATTACTGGCAAATTGACCATAAAATTTCTCTTGCATATAAGAGCTTCATTATCACCTTATTAGTAATATGAAAATATTAAGGTAGACAGATTAGTTGCCATTTCATAAAAGAAACCTACTGGGGTTAGGGGAATAACTCAGATGGTAAAAGTACCTGCCAGGTAAACATGAGGCTGTGAGTTCAGATCCTCAGTACCCCATGAAATTTGGGCACAGCTATATCCATCTATAAGCCCAGTGTTGGCTGGTCGGAGACAGGCAGAACCTTGAGCTCACTGGTCAGTCAGCCCAGCCAAATCAATGAGCTCCAGGTTCAGTGAGAGACCATGTCTCAAAAAACAAGGTGCAGTGTGGCTGAAGAAGTCACAGGTATCAATCTCTGACTTCCACACACATGGTGCATTTAACTGCACACCCCCCCCACATGCTCATGAGTACATGTGAACATAAACACACACACACACACACTACAAACACACAAAAATAATCCTTCAGAAAATTAACACTAAATAGACTGATTTTGGTAATTGTTTCTTTTGTTTTCTGTCTCTTGTGTTCAATGAGGATGTTTGCAGAGCTATGACAAAAATGAAATGTTGAGTTGACATCTCTTTTGAGAAAAATATCCTTTTTTGAGAATATGATTCTCTTTAAAAATAAACATGGGGTCAAACCTTTTTATATTTAGAAAACCAAACACAATTTTCCCCAGCCTTCCTTGGGAACATGAAATCACTACATTAAGGGTAAGCTCAGCGGGAGCAAGGGCTGCGCTTGACCTGCCCTTTGGAGCTGGTGCATCCATCCTTAGGGGTGTGCCTTTACCTCACTATGAAGTCAGAATGGGCCCCCTGCATGATCTGCTTCTCCGAGCGGATATGCTCCTGCTGTCTAGTGTCCACAATGTGGCGTTTCTTGAGAATCTTCATCGCAAATGTTTTGGATTCTTCACTTTTCAACTGGACCTTAAAGACACATAGAAACGGCACATGAGCGAGAATCTACAGACTTAATATGCCAGACTGCACCATTGTCCTCAAATGAGCAGATACATAAAGGATATAAATGAATCCCAACTACCACGCAAGTCACACAGGGTGATGATATCCTTGCTAGAGGGACTGAGTTTACAAACACCATGTATAACCATCCCCTAGTCTTACTGTGCTGGGTCATATTAATTAAATTATTAATTAAACAAGTTAATTTTGTGCCCATATGAATTGGAAAAATATATTTCACGTTTTATTTTATTTCATATAATGAGTGAGTATAATGCATAGTCTTCATCAAAAAACATCTAATTTCCTCTTAAATTCTATTTCATGTGCTAATGGCAAGATGTGATCACATGATCTCCTGGGACTTTATACTCTTCAAAGTCCTCATCCACAAACACTTTTAGAGTTAAGTTTAGTGATTGATCCTGGTCCCTACTGGAGCTGGAGATGTATAAGTCGTATATATATATATGTATGTATGTATGTACCAAGCTGCCTTTTTGGATTTTTAAAAACCACTTTTTTTGATACCATGCTCTATGGTATCAATCTCCTTTGATCTTAAAATCTTACTCCTTAGTTGTATCCACTGTAGACTAATATAGTGAGCTTACATCTCTTGCAGCCCACATGGCTCCCTGTGCCTAGGAAGGAGGCTGAGACCCTCCAATGTCTTATCTCAAATGGGCTGCAGGCGTGTGTTCATGCTTACAAGAGATTCAACCAAGAGCCCTGTGAGTCAAGGAAGGGCCCTGATGGAGTTAGTAAGTTAACAGCAGTCAAGGTTATCATGGAGTGTTCTCCAGCAGTGGAACTGGGCAGCAATGTTCACCAGCAACATTATCCAGACCCAAAGAAAGCATCAGAGACAACACAGCAGGCCTCAGCTGAAACATAGCTTGCCCATTCTTGAGTCTTGAATCCTTCACCACTTCATTTGTATGGATAGCAAAGGTTTCTTTTTTTTTTTTTTTTGGTTTGTTTTTTGTTTATTTGTTTTTGTTTTTGTTTTTTTTTTGAGACAGGGTTTCTGTGTGTAGTCCTGGCTGTTCTGGAACTCTATCTGTAGACTAGGATGGCCTAGAACTCACAAAGATCTGCCTGCTTCTGCCACCTGAGTACTGGGATTAAAGCTGTGCACCAGTACTGCTGGTTGTAATGGTGACGGTGTTAGCAAATTTTTAAGTGTCTAGTCTGTGCACAGTGTTTGGACTGAATTCAGTCTGAGAAGACTTAATATGTCAGAAGGAAATGAGAGGACACAGATGACAGTTGAGTTTGCATTACACGACAAGTTAAAGGGAAAAAAAGAATAACGTGAAAATGTCTGTAACAGCCAAAGACTCTCTAGTTCAGCTGTCTGTGAAACTCCTTAAAATGATCGATTAGTATGGCACAAACGAATTCAGTTGCAGTTCATAATAAAATACAAAATGGGGAAAATCTCTTCTAAAGGGAATGTGGACAGACTAAGAAGATGGAATGACAAATGGGCTGTTGTGAGAAAAATAAAATTCTAAAAGGAATGAACATTCCAAAGAGAAAGAAATGTAGTCTTATTCAGAAAACAAAGAGAACCCAGTGTAGCTCAGATGTCTAATTTAGACATTGTTCTCTTTATTGATAACACTGGCTTTTCACTTCTGTACAGGGTAGGAAAGAGGTCATCATTTAGAACCACAGGTCTTGGTTCTAATTCTGTCCCTTCTTAGTCTTTTAGACTCTTGGGCTAGTTGCTTAACTGTGGCAAGACCTAGTTCTTGCCAAAGAATAATAGCAACTGCTGTAGAATCATCATGATCCTAAAGGACTTGGCATCCTTGATGGCCTTTCTATTAGTCTTTCTGACCTGTGTGGTAGTCTATATCAATCAGGAAAAATCAAATGTTGCTTTAAAATTCTGCCTTTTCACAGAAGCAATCTACTTGGCACAAGTGGATTCAGTATAACTAATAAAATGAACTGGTAAAGTCAAAGGGAAACTACACACACACACACACACACACACACACACACACACACACACACACACACGTTATCTAAGTTCATTGAACTACCAACTGGTAGAACTTGGTTCATAGTCAGGACATTTGGAGCCAAGCTACTGTAAATACACACAGATTTCCTTCAGCTGGATATAAAACAAAATGAAGGTACAATGATGGATGTTTACAAATATGAGTTTAATGGAATATGCCAAATTTAGACACTATGTAAAAATTGAATCATGTATTTATGTATAACTTTAGTTAATACTTCCTTAAAACTTTTGAGTTGCTTAAAATTTATAGACTTAATGTATTTTACTTTTATGAGTAATACAAATTAAATCCTAGTTGTGGAAATTATTTACAAGGTTTCAAAAGCTGTAATATAGCTTAGTGGTAGTGTGCTTTCTAAGCGAAAGTTATCAGGCTTAAGTCCTGAATGAATATGACCCTGAGTAGGGTTTCATTCCTTTCCTTGGACATTATCTGGGAGTCTCAAATCTTTGTTTACAGTAAAAACATCTTAATTTTCCCTGAAACCCATGTGACTCAAGATCAGATATAATCCTATCCAGTGCACAGGAATACTATGAGATCTCACTTAAGTCTCTAAGCAATCCTTTGAAGATGATAGCTTCAATATCCACCAGTATCCTATGTGTGGCTGCTATAAAGACAATGGGGAAGAACCTTCCTTCGAGAAGTGCATTCTTACACTTGGGTATACGTTGCCCTTTCCCCAAGCATCATTCTCTTAACCTTCACAATTAACATCTGGATTGAAATATCTTTGCTAAATCCCAACTGTGCTTCATAATTTGATAGATCTTGAATTCCTTTCTTGGCCAAGGCCAATAATTTAGTCCAACACCACTTGGTCAGAACCATGAGAGACAAGGGAACGCCTCAGTCTTTGAGGTGGCAGCAGAGAGCTGTGTCTCTGGGTTTGTGTCACTGACAATACCAAAAGCTGAGTGTCACTTGTGGCTGTTTTTTTTTCTTGCCCAATTTCAGCTCAGTGCTACTAAGTAAAGAAGTAAGACTCAATAAGTAAAGAAGTTGAGAAGGAACTTCAAGATCACTGATGCTTAAACCACAGGATCTATTCTCTAAGTTCCTGGGGAGTTAAAGTCCAGAAGAAAGTATGAATAGACCCTCCACTTCATACAAACTTCATACAAAATGATTTCAGATAGAGAGAAAGGGTTTGATGACTGAGGCAATAGCAGCATGACTTAAGGAAACAGGAGCAGGTCATTGGAAGGGGTGACGGTGAACACACACTGTGCACACTGTCTCAACTACACATAAAAAGGACGTAGTTTCAACCACATTCAGTTGTAACTTAGTAACTTTTAAGGAACAAAGACTTTTATGAAAAATTTCCAAAGAACACTGAAACAAGGCCATCTAAGCAGAGGCATCTTAATTATAATAGCTGCAACATAGGAATGGCAAATGTTTTTTTTTTCCCTAAGAAAATAGCACAAAATTTTAAACAAGTAACATGTGGTGCATAGTAGAACATAGTAGTTTTTTTTTCTCCCTTAAATTGGCTTTCCTTAATCAGGGAGGAAGTGGCTTTATAAATAAACCAGGAACATTTTTGCAATAATTTGATTTAAGTAAATCACATTGATTACAAATTGTGATGACTTAATGAATTTATAGTAATACACTTTTTTTACAATAGAAAGAAAAGCAAGCCCAAGATACCTATACTGAGGGCAAAATAGCCTATACCAGAAGATTGTTCCAAACTTCTAGAATGTTCCACTCTACTTCATTTATAGTTAGTCCTCAAAGCAGATGAATGGAGGTGATATAAAGGCATTAATAAACCATCAACAACTGAGAACACTGGTAAACAAACCATCAGACTATAAATGTATAAGCATCAGATTTCTTTCACCGTCATTTTCTAAATATTCCCTGCTAAACACTTCCCAGGCCAAATCAGACACTGGCCACAGAGTACACGTTCAAGATACAGTGTGAGCAACATGTGTAGGTGAGTTTGGAGTACACATCCAGCAGCTTTCAGAGGCATTAGAGAATTATTCTAAATTAAAGAGGGAGGAGAGGAATGGAACTACTGCACATCAAACAACCTAGAATTAATGTCATTAATAGGTTTTATAAGCACATATGTAGAAGACAAAAACACTGAGTGCAATTAAAAGTTGTAGAAACAGTGTACCAGGAAAGGCAAGACTTAAGGTAGATAGATGCATGACTGGCTAAGGCTGGGGGTAGAAAGGGAGGCACAGGGCTCTTTTTTTTTTTTTTTTTTTTTTTTTTTTTTTTTTTTTTTTTTGCAAAAACAGAAATGTTCTTTGAATTATAAGAGCACAGTAGAAAATGTTGAGGTATGCACATTGTACTTCAATAAAGCTGTTTAAGAATTTTAAAATGGGAAAATTAGAAAATTACACATCTATAATTTCTAGTTATTTTATTGATTATGATACAGCTATACATTTAGTTTGTATTTTAGAGAATTATGTGCCAGAAAGGCATTTCCTTCTGTTTGTCTTTTTACCTTCAATAATATATCAAGACATTACTCTCACTAGCCAAAAATATATTTCTTTTTGTTCTAATTTTGTTGTGAAATATTGACACAGGTTTAAAAATCAATGTGAATTCAAAAGCTTATAATTAAAAAAGGAATTATGGGTCAGCTTAAGCAAATTATATGTAATTGTGAAAATCTTTCTAAATGACTTAGTCAAAATCGTAGTTCTTTGTCAGCACTTTTAAAAATGTTTTACTTATTTTAATGTAATAATTTTATTCATTCTTTGAAGAGAATTTCACACAAGGCATTCTGATCTTACTGACTTCCCATCTCTCCTTCCCGATTCTTCCCAAACCCACCCAATCAATTTTTAAATATTATATGAATATATAAAGCATATTATCTTTGAAGTTCACATGACCTCCTATAGTCCCTATTCTGCACTATGAAATGGG